TAATCTTTAAATTATTTTCACAAAATAAATCAACATTAGCATGCTAAATAGAGTGAATTTCTATTGTAATACAGGTCAAGTGGGCTACATACTATTATCTTATCACTTAATTATGTAAACTCGTTAATCCTAAACTGAGAAAACGCTCAACATGATCTATAGATTTTCTTAGTTGAAACCCTTAGGTTATTTCAAATGGACTCATACCTGTGACCTATGAATAGATGAGTTATATGCTAACTAAACTGTGCATAACATCCAACACATGCATTGTCTTTAGTTAGTGTCAATTTCCTCAAGTTTATATTCAGTTTATGAGTGATAAGAAGTTAAGAATTTTAGTTGTGCTCCATCTTTTTTTCATAAAATTTTTTAAGAGTAATTTATGAATTTTACTTCCCTATTAGATAATATGTTATCTAAGTAATACAATTTAGTTAATTCATGAAGATACATCATGGATTTTAAAACAAAAATGTGTTGAGTAACGTGGAGACCCTATCTACCGTAATTTAATTAGCTTCCTAATTAAGAATCTTACATACCGTTCACCTACCATATCTCACCTACCGCACACTTTCCTCCCACCTACTGCTCTCCAAGTTTCTATAAATACCCTTTATGGCTTGTCATAAATAAGCCAGATCAAGCCAAGTCCTCTAAGAGAGAAATAGAGGAATAGAAAGAGAGAGGAAGAGAGAGAAGAAAATAAATATTTTCTTATAAACGTCGAGGCGGTCGACAGTGTAATTCCTCGAAAAAATAAAGTCATCTGCAGCTCCATGGACGTAGACAAATTTGCCGAACCATGTAAATCTGTGTGTTGCTTTGGTGTTTTTCTGCGTGTTATTTTTTTTGTTTCATTTTTCGCTTTATTGTCATCTTTTTTCATAACAACTGCTATCAGAGACGTAGTTTCAGATCTAAGGTAGAACGATGGGTGGAGACGAAGTGATGGTATTGGGGATCGAGAAGTTCAATGACAAAAATTTTAGTTACTAGAGAATGCAGATAGAGGACTACCTCTATGGGAAAAAACTTCATCTTCCATTACTGGGAAAGTTACCAGAAAAGATGGACGAGGCAGAATGGAATCCGTTGGATCAACAGGTTCTAGGAGTTATACATTTAACCCTGTCAAGGTCGGTTGCCCACAACGTCATCAAGGAGAGGACTACTACAGATCTCATGACGGCTTTATCATGTATGTATAAAAATCCGTCGGTGAACAACAAGGTGCACTTGATGAAAAAGTTATTCAACTTGAATTTGAAGATGGCGGAAGGTGTGTTTGTTGCTCAATACCTGAATGATTTCAATACTATCACAAATCAATTGTCGTCTATTGAAATTGATTTTAATGATGAGATACGTGCGCTGATATTGTTGGTTTCATTGTCAAATAGTTGAGAAGCCATGAGAATGACAGTTAGCAGTTCTGCAGGTAAATGTAAGCTAAAATATGATGATATTCGTGATTTGATTTTAACTAAGAAGGTGCGCATGAAGGATTCTGGCGAGGCCTCGTGTTCAAGTTTGACGCTGAATATTGATTCCAATGGGAGATCACATGACAGGAACTCAAATAGAGAAAGATCAAAATCAAAGTCTGGTCAGCAGACAACTTGCTAGAATTGTGGTAAGGCTGACCACATAAAAAGGAACTGCAGCAATCCTATGAAGAAGGATAATGATGGAGCTAATGTTGTAACTGAAGAAATACAGGATGCGCTATTGTTGGCAGTTCACAGTTCTTTTGATGACTGGATACTAGATTCATTGGCTTCCTTCCATACATCTTCCGACTGGGAGTTGATGCGAAACTATGTTGCAGGTGACTTTGGGAAGGTACATCTGACTTATGGAAAAGCTCTGAGCGTGATGAGAATGAGAGACTTTGATATTGCACTCCCTAACAAGAGCAAATGAACTTTGCAAAATGTCAGACACTTTCCTGAGTTGAAGAAAACTTCATCTTTGTTGAGCAGTTCAATGAGGGTGGTCATTCAGTAGTGTTCTCAAATAGCACCTGATAGGTTACCAAAGGAGCATTAATACTGGCTCGAGGTAAGAAGACTGACACACTATATATGACTACATGTTTACTCAGACGTGGACATATGAGCCAGAGGTGCATTATGGGAAAGCAGAAGAAGGTCAATTTCCTGAAATGTGGCAGAGCACCAAAGACAGGAAAATCAGACATTATACAGACAAATAGTAGAGAACCACAGAGCTATGAATAAATGTTGTAAGATGAGAATTCGATCAAGTGGGAGCTGACTAAGAAGAATGAGATGGATTCCCTGCCAAAGAATCAGACTTAGGAGCTGACAGAACTTCCACCAAGGAAGAAGATATTGCACAACAAGTGAGTGTATCGGGTGAAGACTGCGTTTGGTGGAAGTAAGAGGTACAAGGCTGGACTTGTTGAAAAAAGCTTTCAGCAGGGGCAAAATATTTCTGATTTAGTGGGAGTTGTAAGCAGATACAGGAGTAACCCATGAAAGAGCTTGGTGGTACAAGGTTACATTGACAGTGATATGTCAACTGAGGGTGTTACGCGTGAGGCGCTGAAGTTGTGCTCGACTTCAGCAGGTCTTCTGGCATGAAGACCAGGGCTTTGAGTTGCAGAGGTGAAGAATATCATGTTTGAGGAAAAGGTCGGTACAGATAGTAGATGATGCAACCAGTAGGTGATGCAGTCAGCGTCCTAGTCTCCAAGCGGGAGAATTATTGGGTAATGTGGAGACCCCGTCCACCGCAATTTAATTAGCTTTCTAATTAAGAATCTAACCTACAGCCCATCTACCTTCTCACCTATCGCTCACCTACCTCCCACTTACTAGTCTCTTGGTTTCTATAAATAGCCTCTTATGACTTGCATAAATAAGTCAGGCTAAGCCAAGTCCTCTAAGAGATAAAGAGAGGAAGAGAAAGAGAGAGGAAGGGAGAGAAGAAAAAAGTGATTTTTTTGTAAACGTCGAGGCGCTCGTCGGTGTAATTCCTCGAAGAAATAAAATCCTCTGCAGCTCCGTGGACGTATGCAAGTTTGTCGAACCACGTAAATCTGTGTGTCGCTCTGGTGGTATTCTGCATGTAATTTTTCTCGTTCCATTTTTCGCTTTATTGTTGTTGTTTTTCATAACAGAAATGAACTCTTTTAGATAAGTAATTCATCACCACAAAATATATTCATGGTTCCCTAAGTTAATGATAGCCCTAATATAAAATTCAATGTTAACTTTTTTCTAAGGCTCCAGAGTAATATGTTAAAATATGTGAAGCTCCGTGTTATTTCATCTATTAGTAGTTCAAAAAGTTTTTCATTGTGAAATTATGCTTGCTGCATATCTTTTCAAACTAAACCAGAAATACTGTCCTCAATCTTGTTTATAATCTTAGCTCGACACAAATGCCCTAAAATGGCATCAACGTGTAATTCTAAGAAAAAAATCTTTCTAACATAAATTAAAATTCAAATATGAGTTATATTAAAAAATCTTTGTTAACCATTGATGAGTTACTTTTTTTAAAGTCATGATATATTTTATCAAAATGCTTACAACTGACATTTTATCTTGAATGTGATCAAAACTTGTTAATTTAACTCTAATTGTGTGCAGTATAATTTTAACCATATTTATTACATTAAACTGTATGGCAGTAGTAGTTCACTATATTCAGCATGCTGTTCTGATTTATTTTGTCAAGATCTATAGATCTGCTAATTGTATGCAGCCCACTTGTCTCCAACCACAAGATTTTGTATTCAAAGTCTTGACTTATTTGTGAGTTTACGAAAAAGTTATAAGATGTTGGTATGCATGAATCTTCAAAGATTTCCTGTGGGAACCTATAAGAAGATGAATACTAGAATGTTGTAGCCATATAAAATCATAAATCACATTCGGATGAATACTCATAAAATTATAATTGCAATAGGTTTTGGCAATACTTGAATCTTTAATACATTTGATTTAGTTTTAGGGTCAAGCTTTAATGCCTTGGATTCAGTAGGTTTGATGTAAATTTGAATGCTCAGTATCTTCAAAATTATAATATTGCGAGTGTTGTGACGAGCACATTGAATTATGAGTTTTTGATGTTACCTTAAATGTTTTATTTTATATTTTTCTGAAATTTTTTAATTTGATTTTGCTATAAACATTCATGTTATAATCTCTATATAGAATATGTTGTATTCTATAAACTCGGCATGTGTTCGTTGGTTCAGTTCCATGTGTTCATCTGAGTTAGTTCAGGTTGAGTTCATGAAATCAATGTTATGGTGCTATGCCTTCCACCGTTGATCACCTTCCTGATGTAAGCCCCTTTTACTGTTGGCGTATGTATCCTCTTCAGTTTTCTAATAGGACGTGAGTAGTGATTGCTGCACTCTTTTAATATGGGTTGAAAGCAAACGAAAGGTTACAATGCCTGGAACTATAAAGAGAGTCACACATTATTGATTTATGAGATTCTGAGATCATAACCATTGATTTTTGCAATTTAGCTTTTACAAAAAATTGTGAGGCTGCTAATTTTGGATATTAATTGATTTAATTGAAAATTAATTTTCTTGTTGTGGTGTGAATCTTAATTGATTTATGATTTTACTTCTCTCAAAATCCTAGCATGACTGCTGCTTTTGGATATTTGAAAACCATTCTTTGAAGCAAGTTTAATATAATTTCTTTTTAGTTTCATTAAAAATGATGATATTTTGCTTTACAAACCGTTCATAATTTCTATCGCTATATTAGTTTTGTGTTCCTTATTTCAAAAGAAATGATTTTGAATTATAAATTATAGTTCTTCAAAATAAATATAATTTATTTTACTCCACTGATTTCACAATAAATTGAATAAAAGTGCAATTTGAAGTAAATGATTCGAGCTCTTAACTTGAAACATTGAAAGAAGCATTGTTCCACTCTGTTTAACCTGTTTGTGTTTGCTCGATATTATTTGTTAATGACAATGATGTTTGGATGCAGCAACTTTATACCTTATTCAACCCTGTTAATGGTGCGGAAAAATTGGAGCAACAAAACTTGAGCTCAGATGAGATTGATGTTCTTGAGCAGAACTTCCTAACACACTTCTTTAAGGCATGCCAGTTTTTTTAACTCCATCAATGAATGCTGGTATTGTTGTTTGGTAATCCTTGTAATAATCTACAAGTCTGCAAAGATAAATCTGGATCCAGGAAAAAAAATTGCTAGAATTTTAAACTCTTTAACTTTTAGGGCTTGTTTGAAATCATTTTGCTTTTGATTTTTGATTTTTATTTTTATTTTTATTTTGAAAACAAATTTGCTTAGAGTTTTCTTTTTTTTATGTTTAAAATTTTATTCTGAGCTTATTTTAAAATTATTAAGAAAAATCTAAAAGTTGTTTTTAATATTTTTAAAGACTACTAAAAATGCTATAACATATCAAACTTAATTTATTTCAAATAAAATATGTACAAAACAAAATAATAATAAAAAATAAAAAACAAAATCTAAAGGGTTACCAAACAGCCTTTTGAATAATGTAGCTTTGAAATTTGTCACATTTGTTTTCTATGTTGATACAGGTAATGGAAAAGAGCAATTTCAAAATAGTCACAAATGAGGAGATAGATGTCGCACGAAATGGGCAGTATCTATTAAATCTACCTATCACAGTAGATGAATCGAAGGTTTGGATTTGCATTATTTTGTGTTTATTCATGATTTCTGCATCTGCCTGATCATCATTTTTTTTTTTTTGTGCTTCAAGTTGGATAAAAATCTTTTCTCAAGGTATTTCAAAGAGCATCCTCAGAAAAATCTCCCTGAATTTTCTGATAAGGTAATTATTTTTGAAGATTTCGATTTTAGATTTTGTCATTTGTTCATATATTGAATAAAGAGAAGAAATTGGTAAAATATGACATGCAGATAAAATCAATGTAAATAAAATATAAAAAATAACAAAAATTAATGGAGATAATTGGAAGTTGTACAGTCAAAATTATATAAAATAGAATTAACACCCCATTAGTTCTACTCCCAACCCATAAGTAGAAATAAGGCTAATTAAGACGATTATGTGCTACAGTTCTTCATATCTTACTGGTCATAAAATTATGAACGATGGAACATAGTAAGGATCTTGCAGCTTATGATAGTGCATACATTTGCCTGCACAACAAAGAGCTATTTAGGTCCATACAATGGACTATTTAAAAGCAATTTCTAGAAACTATTATAAAATGCTTTCTGGATAACTGAAGATAATGCTGTTAAACGCGCAATTTATATAAAAAAAGATTTCTTCATTTTATTTAAGTTTTTTGCGTTATATTTTCCTTATGGTACAGCATTCCTTGAAATGATGGACAGCTTTAAGCTTATAGAAAGTGACTTGGAAAATAAAATTAATTTTGTAATTTATTTAAATTATGAAGCCAAAATGAAGGAGTTTATATTCAAACTTTTTCTGGAACTCATCTTTGATAATTATTTTCATCAAAATTTAGCATATTAACAAAATTAGTAACTGATAAATGGCGCAAATCTAGGAGTAACAGAGGATGAATAATTACCCACTTTGAAATTTAAATTTTCCTTGTCGTATCCTGATTTATCTGTAGTCTCACACCACCTAGGAAGAAGTTGAAATGAACGGAGAAAACCAGTATATTAAGAAGAGAAATGATAAAAAAATTTCGCTAAATTTTACTAAATGGAATGATCATACATGGCATTTTAATCTCAGACTTGTGATCCCTGGTAATCTGAAGAAGTCTCCTCGATTTATATGTTTCAATTGGCCTAGGTTTGCTACATAAGTCATTACATAAAAAGGCTTAAAGTATATTATTTGAAAGTAAAGAAAAGTAGTCGAATGTGTAGCCTATGAGTCTATATGGTCTATTCAAACCTTTTGAAGATTTGGCGTAGTGGACAACTCATTGAGCGAAACTTGCCAAATCGGAAATCCAAATTGCCTTGCCGAGCTGGTTGGCCAAGCTGCTATAAACAAGAAACTATTTCTATATATCAAATTCCAAAACCATTAGAAAAAATATTTCAATTAGCAGAAGAAATTCAAATAATAGGAGAAAACCCTTTAAAACATTGGGAGAAAAATAAAGAATTAGCAAATATTCCTATAATAAACAAAGACTTAGTTATAAGAACTAAAGAAATAGAATACATTCCTTTAGACAAAGAAAAATTTAAAATTTAATTAAAGGAATTAAGAGATCAAGGATTAATTAGGCCATCAAACTCAGAACATAGATTCACTGCATTAATGGTAAGGAACCATGCAGAAATAGTAAGAGGAAAGGCTAGAATGGTTATAAATTATAAAAGATTAAATGACAATATTCAAGATGATGAATACAAAATACCAGATAAAGATATGTTAATAAATTTAATACAAAATAAAAAATATTTTAGTAAATTTGATTGCAAATCTGGATTTTGGCAAATAAAATTAGATGAAGAATCAATTAAATGGACAACATTTACAACACCATTAGGACATTATAAATGGTTAATAATGCCCATTGGATTAAAAATTGCACTTGGTATATTTCAAAGTAAAATTGATAATATATTTAAAACTCTAGATTATGTATTAATATATATAGACGATATATTAGTAGCATCGCATAATTTTAAAAAAAAACATTATAAACATGTTGAAGAAGTCCTTAAATTATGTATACAACATGGAATAATTTTATCTAAAAAAAAATTGAAATAGCAAAAGAATACATAAATTTCTTAGGACAGAAAATTAGTAAAGGGGAAATTGAACTACAAGATCATATTTCTAAGAAAGTTTTAGAATTTTCCGATAAAATAGAAAATACTAAAGAATTACAAAAACTCTTAGGACTTCTAAATTATGCAAGACCATATATTAAAGATTTAAGAAAAAAAATTAAATCTTTATATAAAAAGACTTCTACAATAGGACAAAAATATTTCAATATGGAAGACGTTAAAATAATTCAAAAAATTAAAGTGCAATTTAAAAATTTACCTAAATTAACTTTACTCTTAGAATCAGATTATAAGATAGTAGTAGTAGATGCATCCCAAGAAGGATAGGGAGCTGAAATAAGAATTAAACCTTATGAAGAAGCTTATCAAAATACTGAAAAATTATGTAGATATGCTTCAGGAAGTTTTAGACAATTACCAGAAAATATGACATCATTAGATTATGAAATATTAGGAGTAATAAATGCTTTAAATACATTCTGATTATTTTTACTAAAAAAAATCACAATAAGAACGAATTGCAAAGCTATAGTTCATTTTTATAAAAATAAAAATAAAAAGAAAATATATAGTAAAAGATGGATAAATTTCATAACTAATACAGAAGGAAACTGTTATAATGTTGTTTTTTAGCATATAAAAGGAAAAAATAATTTCTCAACAGATTTTCTTTCAAGAGCTATAAAATATCCAAAAAATGATCTAAAATCTACGGATTTTAGACCATCATCACTAAATGTTTCCCAAAGAAACATTACTTAGGAAAAATATAAGAATTTATTTTTTGATAAATTCATTAGAAATTAAAATATATGTTTCATTTGCAGGTACAATAGCAACACAGAAATCTTCGCCATCTCAGATTTTATTGTCACAAAACCTAGTCCATTACGACCCGCTAACTTTACCAAGCCGTATTATAACCAATCTTCAATTTAGACCTAAAGTTGCTATACCAAAACCTATTAATCAAATTCAGGTAACATTACTAGACAACCTTTGGTGCAATAGATCGGACACTAGGGCAATGATAAATACTCTTAATTGTCTGACCATATGCTTTATAGGAATTAATGAGGAAGTTCAGTTTTTACAAAATCAGATAAAAAATAAAGAACTGAATGTATCTTCAGGACCTATCTCTTTGCGTCCTAAAACACCATTTGACTTACAAAAGCTAGTTATTACTAATCAGAAGCTAAACATCAAAATTCTTGAACTCAAGCTTGCAGAGGAAAAAGAAAAATACAATATTCTTCAAAGTAATTACAAGGATCTTCTGAAAGATAATAATTATTTCAAGAATGTAATTATAGACATTTCTGAAAATAATTTATTAAAAAATATGCAATATCTCTATCTCCCTGTGATGGATGATAACATTAGGAGAAAAATATCCTTATATGCAAATAAATGTAAAAAAAAAAGAAATGATTGAATGTAAAAGGAATATGATAAACAGATACAATACTGAATATATTCATGAACTAAGAATATCATATTCCACCATTCAAATTGAAGCACTTAAAGTAAACTTAGTTTTACTTTCTGTGGATTTGTCAATATGTTTGAATTATCTAGACAGCGGATGTAGTTATTTCATTAAAAAAATATTTGAATATGAATTTTTATGAAAAATAATTATTAGGAAGGATAAGAATTTGAGCTCTCAAATTAGGCAACTTGATCATAGTGAAATCAAAAAAAATTATAATATTCTTATTTGAAAATTTTGACATAGTAGCAGTCACTCTGATCATAAAATCACTGCTACCAACCTATGAGGGCTTGAATCAAGGAGCCAAGCACGTCATCGAAATTCATACAACATCAAGATTCACAAATTTTGTTCAACCTGAACAATTTCGTGCTGACATAATTATTGATGACAAAAATATTGAAGAATGCCTGCGTAACTATAAAAATTATACGAATTCTCGCTGGAATATTGGCATCTGCAGGCCATCTCTCTTTATGACACCAGTATTTCAGCATGATTTCATTATCATCATCATTCATGAGAAGAGATTTAGAGGAAGAATCATTAAGTTCAAAATTTATGCTAATAATGCCAATCATATTGACCAATGCAGGAATATATCCAAAGTCAAATTTGTGCAACATGGAGATTATTTACTAACTTCTGTTCTTCAAGAAAATTACAATCATTCAGCTAGTAGTCCTATACCAGTATCAAAAAATGTTGATGACTCATGGTTAGAATCTCTAGACGGCGAGGCCATTAACAACATTGATAATACCATGGAGCAGTAGGAATTAATTCGTGAAGTCTTTAGAAAATTAAAAGAGCATAAATTTTATCATAAAAGCAAAAGCTAAGGAATATTTTAGGCATCTAACCGATAATTATTATGAAAGAAATTCTCAGAAGCTTTATAAAAGAAGACATCTTTTTTTTAGAAAGAAGCTAAATTTATACAGTATGAAGTGACGGAGCCGTTTCATCCTTTATCAAAAGAAAATAAGTGGAACATCCACTTTTGATAAGAATCTACTTTCCATGACAGGTGGTTACAAGCTTTTGATAATGGAGAATTAAATTTTTATCTTCTGTTAAGAAAAGTTTGTAAGTGTGTCCATCATTTTATTTTTTTGTTTAAGAAGAGAATGTACTAGGTCCCACTCTTATTCCTTTTTTTACTTATAAATAGAGTGTGTGTTATGAAGAGACATCAAAGTAATCGAGTAAGTCTCTTAGTCTTTAAGTGTGAAGAGTGAGAGGCTGAAGTTCTATAAAAATGAAAAATCTCTATAAGTATTTTTAGTCTATCAATAAATGCTTTGAGTTTTTATTATCCTTATGCGTCTATGCTTATGGGTGAGTAGTTCCTAGTTCCTCCCCGTAGGGGAGAGATATCTGAAGAAATATTTTGAGCCTTTAAAAAAAAAATATAAACCTCTATTTTCTGAGTACAGATAAAATTTATTTCACAAGGTAATAGCCAATAACCTCTACGACCAAAGTTCTTATGTATTTTAACATGATGAAATTATGCTATAAGTCCTGACAGTGGATGATATGATGGGTCAATCATTTGCTTTATTAGT